TTGCCTGAGCCCGCAGGTTCGAGACCCACCTGGGCAGTGAGACCTCATCTCTACAATAAAATCAAAAAATTAGCCGGGCGTGGTAGCATACGCCTGTAGTTCTGGCTACTCGGAAGGGTGAGGCGGGAGGATCGCCAGAGCCCAGCAGGTTGAGGCTGTGGTGGCCGGGAGCAGCCTCTGCACTCCAGTCTGGGCGACAGAGTGAGACTCCAACTCAAAAAAAAAAAAAAAAAAAGACTATGGAAAGAAAAACCCATTTTAAAAAAGCAGCAGGGCGTGTTGGTGAGCACTTCTAATCCCAGCTACTCAGGAGGCTAAGGTGGAAGGATCATTTGAGTCTAGGAGTTCAAGGCCAGCCTGGGCAACTAGTGAGTCCCTATCTCTTTATAAAGAAAGAAAGAAAGTTCAAAAGACAAATGCAGGCCAGGCTCGGTGGCCCAGCCTGTAATCCCAGCACTTTGGGAGGCTGAGGTGAGTGGATTTCCTGAGCCTGCAGGTTCGAGCTTAGCGCAGGCAACTTGGTGAGACCTCGTCTCTACAATAAAAAATAAAAATAAAAATAAATTAGTTGGGCGTGATAGCATGCGCCTATAGTTCCAGCTACGTGGAAGGCTGAGGTGGACGGATCACTAGAGCCCAGCAGGTCGACGCTGGGGTGGCCGTGAGTGTGCTTACTCCAGTCTGGGCGACAGAGTAAGACTCCAACTCAAAAAAAAAGATTCTAGGACTAAAAGCAACAAGGACTGTATCCAGTGCAACCCTGACTACGAATAATGCAGTAAGGACCAGGCAGAGATGCTAGGGTTTAAAAGCTGACTTACAATACAAATTGACTTTCATTCAAATCACTCTTCTGAAACTTACTAGTGGTCATCTCTGAATAAGTGTTAAAGTTTTTTTTTTTTTATCTCTAAGGTGAGTAGTATGCTAATCTCACAGTTATTATAAAGATTAAATAAGATACTCCATGCATTGCTTTACTTGAAACTTTGTACTTGGTGATACCAAAACAGATTTTGTTATGAAAGGAATGAAGAGATGACAATGTATCATATCATGTAGCAAGTTTGTTATTCTAAAGGCAATATAGGGTGCTAAAACCCTCAATTTCCTCATCTGTAAGATGTGGTTAACAGTACCTATCAGGATAGATAGGCTGTTGAGAATGCTAAGTAATACACAGCATGGAGCCAGGCATGGTGGTGTTTATGTCTATAATCCCAGCACTTTGGGAGGAAGGAAGATCACTTGAGGCCAGGAGTTGGAGACCACCCTGGGCAACAAGCAAAACCCAGTCTCTATAAAAATACACAGCATGGTCCTCGACACACAGGTACTGTTGAAAACCACAAGGACACTTATTAAATAAGAGAAGCACAAACTTCTGTTCAAGGTAAAAATGCCTAGTTCTGGCTTTGAGGCAAATGACAAGACACTCGGATCGAGCTGTCAGTATCTTCTTCAGTCTCCAAAGCCTCAGGTGCCTCCCGCCTCCCGGTCCTCGGAGGCTCTCCGTGCCCTATCAACACTTCCATCCAGGGAAGGCAAGACACCCTGCAGGCACCGTATTCCTCCTAGTGATGCCCACCGGGAGCAGACAGAGCGAGGAAAACAGGGGGCGGGCTCCCATTTAGCCCAATGGGGTGACCAGCACGGTGCGGAGCGACTTCTAAGAACCACCCACCGCAGTTTTGAAAGTTCCTGGGCCTTTTCCGGCTCGCCGACAACGTTTGCAAAATCACAAACATCCCTTTGAGCCGGCTTGGGAATCTAGAGTTTACAAATCCCCGGGACCTTTAGCATCTAGCCCAGCCTCCCTCACTAAAGGAGGAGCGTGAAATCGGAGCCCTCCTCGGGCTGCTTAGAAGTTTTCCCAAATCCTTGATCCTTTCCTAAGGACCGGGTCCTGGCCTCGTGGAGCCGGAGCGCGCGGACGGAGACCTGCCCCATCACAGACCCGTGCGCGACCTCCAAAGGCGCCCACGGCCCCAGTCTGTTCTCCCCTAAGGGCAAGCCCAGGTGGGGAGGGGGCGGTGGGCGGAGGGAGCGCCTGGCGACTTCTGCCCTCCAGCGAGGCGGTTCCCGGGCTGGCACCGGGGCCCGGGATGTCCAGACCCGGGGGCCGCTGTGCTTTAAGGGGCCTCCCACGCCGGGAGGCGGCGAGCGCGAATTCGTGCCACCCCCGAGGCAGGCTTAGGCGAACCTGGGCCCTGCCAAGGGTCGGCTTTAGGTTTCTATATGAAAATAATAATAATGGTAAAGGAAGTGACGACGGAGCAAAGGACGGCCCCGAGCCTGAGGAAAAAGGATGCCTCATCCTCCACTCGGGGGCGCCGCGAGGGGGGTCTGCGCTGAGGGGGAGGGGAGGGAGGCCCCGGAGGGGGAGGGGAGGACAGGGAAGGCGAAGGCCTCGGGCCCTGTGGTCCGGCGGGAGGGCGGAAGGATGGGGGCTCACCGGGGGTCCTCGAAGCGCACGAAGGCGAAGGGCACAAGGCCGTGCCTGTTCTTGAGCTCGATCTCGCGGATGCGGCCGTATTTGTAGAACAGATCCTCCAGGTCCTTCTCGCGCACGTCGGTCGGAAGGTTCCCCACGTAGATGCGCCCGTCGCCCTCGCCGCCGCGCTCGTCCGCCCAGCCCGACTTCCGCACCGCCCGACGCCGCGGGCCCGCCGCAGCCCACGTCGCCGCCGCCGCCTCAGCACGGGTCCCCCCGCAGCGTCCCCGCGAGCTCTGAGGCGCTCAGCCGCACTGCATTGTGGGAACGCGCAGCGGAAGCGAAGGGGTCGGCGGAGGCGAAAGAAATCCTCTTAAAGGGGACGCGGCTGCGGCCATTGCGCGTGCGCGCAGACTGGCGCCCCCTGTAGGTACAGACAGGCGCTCGAGGAATGAAAGGAAGAATGTGGAGTCGGGCCGTTCGGATTGAACCAGCGAACGCGGTTGGTTCCCGGCTGAGAGGACTTGGGAGAGTGACTGGGGTTCCTTGAGCCTCGGTTTCTGTCTCTAGAGCGCCGCCTGCCTCTCACCTTGTGAGCGCTCTCTGAGAGGGCGCGGGGCGTGCCCGGGGATGGCCCCGCGCCGTCACTGCGTGTGGGGCGCCGGTCAGAAGGAGGCAGGCCAGGACCGCAGGCTGACCCGCAGCGGCCCAAGCGACTCCTCCGCAGCTGGGCTGTCGCGGCTCTCAGCCTCAGGTTAGTAGCCCTCTGGGCCACCCCGTCCCTGTTTTACAATTGCTCAGAACTGACACTGTAAGCGTGAGTTGGAGTTTATCGAAAACGAGGGAGTCAAAGACCCATCGTGACGATCACAACTGTCACTATAAAGTGCATCCAGAGATTTGTGCTTTTAATGCTCACCCAGGATGGAGGGATCCTGATACTACAGGGGAGAAAACTGAGGTCTCAGAGTGGGATCAGAAGTATGATTTACAGCCTGTAATCCCAGCACTTTGGGAGGCCGAGGCGAGAGGATTACCCGAGCCTGGGGATCGAGACCACCCTGGGCAACTTGGTGAGATCTCGTCTACGCAATAAATCACAAAAACTAGCCAGGCGTGGTGGCGTGCGTCTGTAGTTCCAGCTACTCGGAAGGCTGAGGTGGAAGGATCGCCTGAGCCCAGCTGGTCGAGGCTGTGGTGGCCGGGAGCTTGCCACTACCCTCCAGCCTGGGCAACAAGAGTAAGACTCCCACTAAAAAAAAAAAAAGGAAAAGAAACATCAATTCATTGATGGATAGATACATGATAAAGCTAATATAGCAGAATGTTAACTTCAGACTCTAGAGGATGGATGTGTGGGTGTTCATTGTATCATTCTTTCAGCCTTTATGTTTGAAATTCTCCATAATAAAATATTGGGTACAGGAATGAAATTGTTAAAAACAGACTCCATTAATGCTAACAATAGCAAGAGAATAAAGTCAAATATTTAGTCAGAAGGTAGTTGACTTTGACTTCTCATACGATCTCTGAGTCTTTTTTTTTTTTTTTTTTTTTTTGGGTTGGAGTCTCACTCTGTCACTCAGACTGGAGTGCAGTGGCCGCTCCCGGCCACCGCTGCCTCGACCTGCTGGGCCCCGGCGATCCTTCCGCCTCAGCCTTCCGAGTAGCCGGAACTCCAGGAGCACGCTACCATGCCCGGCTAATTTTTTTTTTTTTTTTTTTTGGTAGAGATGAGGTCTCGTCAAGTTGCCCAGGTGGGTCTGGAACCTGCGGCTCAGGCAATCCACTCAACTCGGTCTCCCAAAGTGCTGGGATTACAGGCTGAGCCACCGAGCCCGGCCTCTGAGTCTTTTAAAATAAAAAATTAGACACCTACATATACTACTGAGTGTATATGCTTTATGGAATACAAGTTGATAGTATACGTCAAGCCTTCATAATATACATGTACCCTTTGATCTTGTAATTCTGCTTGTCGGATTTTATCATAAATAAATTCTCACAATAAATTATATATGTATGTTCATTATTGTGTTGTGTGCAATTAAAACATTAATCTAGCCGGGCTCGGTGGCTCAGCCTGCAATCCCGCGCCTTGGGAGGCTGAGGTGAGTGGATTGCCTGAGCCCGCGGGTTCGAGACCCGCCTGGGCAGCGAGACCTCATCTCTACAATAAATCAAAAAATTAGCCGGGCGTGGTAGCGCGCGCCTGTAATTCCGGCTACTCGGAAGGCTGAGGCGGAAGGATCGCCGGAGCCCAGCAGGTCGAGGCTGCGGTAGCCGGTAGCGGCCACTGCACTCCAGTCTGGGCGACAGAGTGAGACTCCAATTCAAAAAAAACAAAACAAAACATTAATCTGATAATAAAGGAGTGGTTCAATGCATTAATAACATTAAATGTTACACAATTATTAAGTCGTGTTTTTAATCTGTCATTAAGTATATTAACGTCAAACTAATTTAGTTACTTTTTTTTTTTTTCTGAGTTGTAGTCTCACTCTGTCGCCCAGGCTGGAGGGCAGTCACACGCTCCCGGCCACCGCAGCCTCGACCTGCTTGACTCTGGCGATCCTTCTGCCTCAGCCTTCCGAGTTGCTGGAGCTACAGGCGCGCACTACCACGCCCGGCTAATTTTTTTGATTTATTGTAGAGATGAGGTCTCGCCAAGTTGCCCAGTCGGGTCTCGAACTCGCGGACCCAGACAATTCACTCACCTCAGCCTCCCAAAGTGGCGGGATTACAGGCTGAGCCACCAAGCCCGGCTCTTTTTTTATTTTTTTTAGTTGGAGTCTCACTCTGTTGCCCAGGCTGGGGTGCAGTGGCATGTTCATAGCCACCGTAGCTTCAACCTACCGGGTTCAGTGATCCTTCCGCTTCAGGGTTCCAAGTAGCTGGAACTATAGGAGTGTGCCACCACACTCAGCTAATTATTTATTGTAGGAGTGAGGTCTCACCAAGTTGCCCAGCATGGTCTCGAACCCCTAGAATCAGGCAATCCTCTTGCCTCCACCTCCCAAAGTGCTGGAATTACAGGCATAAACCACCACGCCCAGCCTTTTTTTTTTTTTTTTTTTT